TCGGCGATCACTTATCTTATGCATCCACGGACTTAGGTGCGGGTTAAAGTGAAATTTTCAACTAAAATCTGGACAATTCACTCTGAACTGAACTTATTACTAAGATTAGGAGCTGAACAGAGTAATACCTTTCTGAACGCTCGACGGGAACTCGAAAATAACCGACCTCTCTACACGTGAACGTCGTGCGATGCTTCTTCAAGCTTATGCCGTGCGATTGGAACGAAATTTAGGGAAAATTTGCTTGAACTATTGAGGGCTGATAGAGTAAGAATTAAGAGCTGAAATTTCCTTAAGGAAAGTGGCAAAAATTGCCCACAAGCCCTCTTTATATAGATGGTCGTGGAGGTGCTAAGGCCACGTAAGTTTAATGTGGCTTCCTCTACTAATGCCACTTGCTACAATTTGGGGTATAATGGGATGACTAAGCTTACTTAATAGTTGACAAGTTGCTTAATGTCATTGGCTATAACACCTTACCTCAAGCTTAAGGATGCATACGGACACTTAGAAAATTTTTGGGAAAAATGATCACAATAATACGGCAATTAGGGCTTCTTTAGCTAATTATTGTGATTAATCCCAATTAATCACTCAAATGATGTTTAATTGTTAAATTAAACATAATACTTAATTACCAAAATTATTTCGGAAGTAAACGGTACGCCGAAAATATATTTCGGTAATCCGACTGAACTTAATTAATTCTGAAAATAATAAACGCTAACGTTACTATATCGGAATTAAACGTAATTTATACTGATTAATATCTCGGGATATTACATTTATTCTTTCTCTCTTTTTTTTTTCAAATTGGGCATCTTGAACCTTACTGACTGGGTATCTTGAATTTGTGTATTGGGCGTTCTTGTTTGGTTGTCAATTGCTGTGGATTTTGCTTCCTTCTTCAAAAAGTCCCCTGAAATCTTTGTTCTTCCGCTTTAATTTCTCCGAAGTCACCCTTCTTCGTAGAACCCTAGTTTTTCTCTTCTTGATTCCATTTTATTGTTTGAATTTCTCTCTCTTCTTTTTTTTCTTTTTCAGATCTTGTGCCTCCATCTCCTTCCTCGACCACTTCCTCTGACTCAGTCCAGATACTACCTTCTGCACTTGAGGCCGTTCTGTAATATCCCGACTTTTTATCAGTATAATAATATTTTAGTTCCGATATTATTTTTCGGAATTAATTATTTTCAGTTATTTCAGTAAAAATTACCGGAACTATTTTCGACGTACCGTTTACGTTCAGAATAATTTTGGTAATTTAGCATTATGTTTAATTGGATAATTAAACATAATTAAGTGATTAATTTTACTTAATCACGAGATTAGTTAAATTGTTCGGATTTTATTCCGAGCCATGCCATTGTCGTGCGCATATGTGTTAATACCGTGCGTATTCATGCTCATGCTATATGTTAGTACTCGTTCCAAGTTCATGTGTTAGTGCATGGAGTGTTAGAGTCTCGGTCCATTTCTTGCGCATGAATGCCGTGCACGTGTTGTGCATTCGTCCGAGAGAATCCGTGCCCAACATCTTGCTAGGAGACCATGCGTGTGTTGTCCATGAATGCCGTGCAAAGTCTAGTGGGCGGAGTGTCCAAGGCC